CGATCAAAAATGGGTTTAAATTTGTTTTATTCGGTTTACTTAGAGTTTTCTATATACTATGTGGTACTGAAAAAGCATACATCTGGAAAATTCCAGGTCAACAGATTAACAAAAAATAACGCAACCAATTTTTGACTTCAGTCGAAGTTCGTTGAGGTGCAATTTTTTTTCTCGCCGTTCCCTGAGAAACTTTTTTATGAAATTTTGACAAAAAAAAAGTTATTTTTGTTGGGTTTTCATTAGGGATGGCAAAGAGAAAAATTGTATAATCGATTAATTAATCACAAGCCAAAACGAATCGCAGTTAATTGCAATTATTGAAAAATAATCGATGAATCGTATTTTTAAAGGCACTTTTTTATAGTGGGTATATACAAAAACACTTTTCCTTACAAAAGTTTTAATTCTCTTGTTAATAAGCCGTAAATAAAATTAAACAACATTTAACCAAGTTTGCAAAAACAAAAGTTTTATTAAGCGTTTTGTTGTTATGTATTTATTATTTCACCAAGTTTGCAAAACAAAATTTTTGAAAGGCGTTTTGTTGTTAAGCGGTTGCGTTTCTCGTCGGCTGGGAGAGCTGCAATTTTTACTAGCAGAAGATCAAGAATAAATGTGGAAACCAAAATATTAGTGGTGTACTTGATTGTGGAAGCGCTTGTGTGTAAAGCAAGGAGTTTTATAAATTGTAAAATGTTTACAGCAGGAATGTCAAAATAGTGCAACTACTGTTCACTTGCAAGTTTCCACTAGTTTTAGTTCAATAACTTTTTTATTTTTTTTTTTTTTTATTTGGTATTTGAGTTGCTCCGAAAATTTAAATTTTATAAAGTAAACAACCCTCAAAAACTAAATCATGGGCTACGAAATGAGCGAACGGTTTTACCTTTAAATACTTGTATAATGATATACACCTATTTCTTAAAAATATTTTTACAAAACTTCCATACAATTAAATCGTAAATTGGACAAAAATAATGGATTCATTTAATGAAAGGATTAACCGCTGCCATTCCTAGTTTTCATAATTCCTCATCCTCCCGGCATAGGTATAAATATTTAATTTTAGAAAAAAGTCTTATGCCTAATGTACATACATACATACGTAAGCATCTTGAAATGTAACACCGATCGACGCAGAGTAAGAATGGAGCTTAAGATGGTAAGTAATCCACGCAGATGCTTCGAAATTGAGAAAAAACATTATGACTGGACGGTCAGACATAAGTATGTATGTACATAAGGTGGTCCAAAAATGCATGTGGGAAAAAATTTAAGTCCGAATTTTAATGCTGTTACCCCCTAGGATTTTTCTATGTCTGAAAAAAATTACCCCGCTCATCGCTCAAAGCGCTGAAAGCTTTAGATGCATTTTATATGGGGAAAAAAACATTTTTTCAAATAAATGGTATAGAATTCTTGAAAATCAATATTTTTGAAGGGAAACTCTATTCTCTTCAGGAGGCTTCCAATAATAATACCCAATTGGTTATTATATTTTTAATACTTACTTTTATGGGGCGACCCCGTTGCATTTTTTTTGGGATTTTTGGTTGACCTATAAAAAATAGTTTATATAAAGAAATGGTTAAATAAGCAATTATTTATTATTATCGGAAGTCTCCTACTCACCTAGCACACAGCGTATATTTTTGTGTAAATTTAGGAATTGTGGCATAATTTTTATTAATCGTACCAAAAATCACAAATTTACAACAAGTTTTACACCAGTGTGCTACTTGAGTAAAGAGAAGAATGATTTTCAATTATCCTATAGCATTTCCACGAAAACTTGTTTTCCCCATATAAAATACATGGAAAACTTTGAGCGCTTTGTGTGACCTCTAAATATTTTTTTATTTCAACAAAAAAAAAACAGTGGTATATTTTTTCGATATTGAACAATCATAGTTGGTGAGAGCATTAAAATTGCGACTGTACTTTTTTACCACCCTAATGTACATACCTA